CCCCCCTCTCCCTCTCCGAGACGCCCGAGCGCCGCGGTGATCTTGGAGGCGGCCGAGTTATGGGATTTCGTGAAATCCGCTCAAATCCTTTCCCCTCCCAATGTAGGTGACGAGTGCGAACCTCCTCAGTTCGTTGGTGTAAATCTGTAGCGCTTGACACACGCATATTCATTTCATGCGAACCTTTATCGCAGTAGTCTACAGCAGTAACAATTTGGCTAGAAAATTAACAATTTAAAAAAAAAAATAAAAAAGAAAGCGAGAGGGAGGTGGTGGTGAATTTGGTAAGGAGCGAACGACCAAGCCACTCTTACAGATCACCGTGATGCTGGCCGGATGGCAGGTCTGGCATAGCTGGAGTCTTTGTGGTACCAGGGAACAGATAGGCGCCTCGAATAATTCTCCTCGATGGTGTGTATGTATGTGAAATTTTATAATATTCATTGCAGTATGTCGAGCAAGAAGTGCAGTTACAAAGAGAAGTCATCGATAAGCTATGTTGATCCGGGCGATCCGACATTCATCCGACAAATAAAAGAGAAACTCGCGTACAAGCCACCGCCGAGCATCGATGACAAGGTAAGCATTCTACGGTGCTGCTCATGTTACTCGCGGGTAAGGGAAGGCTGAATGTAAATTTGCGGGGTTGCACGTGGGTGGGGAACGTTCCCCTAAATTTTCAGCTTCCTAGCTTTTGTGGTTTCCGGGTTGAAAGTTGCGGACAAGTTGCTGCGGACACACACACACAGACAATCCCGTGACATTTTGCGTTTTGTAGTGCTGTTACATAGCACAAAACGCATATTAATCGTAGTTCTCGCTTGTGCTGAGATATATCACTCATTGCGACTGTGCTCCTGCAAATACCAGCCACACTGCTTTGTTTTGTAAATCTTTTCGTGTGTGGCCGGTGGCAGCTTGGAGCTGCTGCCGGGCGACTTCTGGCTAGTTATTGTTTCTTTGATTTCTTTGATATTAATCTAATAAATAAATTTTACTTGGTGTCACACTCCCCTTGCCAGACAGGCCCGACCCCATCCGCAGCTCCCCTCCGTTACACCTGCAAATACCAGCCACACTGCTTTGTTTTGCCAAATTTTCAAATTTTCATATTATAGTTTGCGTCGACTGCCGATGCAGGATATGTTGAAAATGATGTGGAAGATGATGACTTGTTACGAACCAAAGATGAAGAAAGGCCACAAGTAAGTGATGCTGTAATCCGTCTTTCTAAGTTCGGCTTTTCAATGTATCGTTGCCTGATATTTGGGTGCTAGTAAAAAGACTCACCTGTGATTCATGGAACAATTATTAACTCATAGTCTAGCGCTCCATCTCACGGCCGTCAACTTTTTTTCAGTTTTTTTGACCAATGATAACCATCTCAGTGTCTTCTGACAGAAGTACATAGCAAGGATCCAGTGTTCCGAGGTGTTCTTGGTGTGTTTTGAGCATCTCCACCACTCTCCAAGCAATTTTTTATCGAGACTCTGCTGAAGCAAAAGAAACAGATAGATTGTCG